TTCCTTCCTTCCTTCCTTCCTTCCTTCCTTCCTTCCTTCCTTCCTTCCTTTCTTTTTAGTACAGGGTCTACAGTTCCTCAATGCATAGATCGGACTGGTGATTCTCCTGTTTTCAACCTCTCAAGGGCCGGGATTACAGGTGTGCACCACCAACCCAGTATCAATTGCCATCTCAGCACCCCACCCCGTGGGCGGGGCCGCACAGCACTCTGGGGATTAAACCATGGCCGCTGAGCTCTGCCTAGGCAGGCGCTTGAGTCCCCGGAGCTATCAGGCCGGCCCTTGGTTTGCTTACTTGATGCCTTTTTTTTTGGGGGGGGGTGGACTCCGAATGCCTTAGGGGCAGGTTTGGCTGGCTGGAGTTGTGGGGATCGAACCACAGCAACCTGAGCCTGACTGCTTTGTTGAAGCAGCAACTTAAAGAACTGAGCTTATACCAGGAATCGAACTCAGCACCTTGTGTTTGTCAGGCAGGCGCTGTTTGCTTGTTTGAGACAGGGCCTCACTATGTACTTCGGGCTGGCCTCGGACTCACTGCAGAGCCCACGCTGGGCTCCAACTGTGGGGATCCTCCTGTTCAGCCTCTCAAATGCTGGGGCCACAGCTGTTTGCTACCAGACAGCTCCAGGCAGGCTTCTGTGTCTCTTAGCTAGGACCCCAGACAGAGCCCCAAGGTGTCTCCCGTATTTGATGGGGTTGGGGGCCATTTTCATTTGTATTTTAAAAGGCAAAGTGATATCCAGGGCCTAAAACCTAAGTAGGGAGTATCAATAACTATACTTCCAAAATCAATAACTTCTTGTATATTGGCTAAACTAGTAAAAAAGCCAAAATACACAAGCATTGATCAAAATGTACAGTAGATGTTTATATTTTTAATTTTTATTACAGTAAAATACATTGTCCTGAACCCCCTTCAAAATACCCCCCAAGGCTGGGGAGATGGCTCAGTGGAATAAGTGCTTCCCAGGCAAGCGCAAGGGTGTGAGTTCAATCCCCAGTTCCACAAAAAAACCCCAAAAAACCCTTCAAACACAGTTATGCCTTCTTCTTCAGCTGCTTCTGCTTCCGATTCCTCTTCCTCTTCTTCCCCTTCCCCTTCCTCTCCCTCCTTTTTTGCTGTACCGGAAATAGAACTCGGGACCTTGCACTTGCCAGGCAGGCACTTATGCCCCTGAGCAATCTCCCCGGCAAATATATTTTTTTAAATTTAAATAATCACCGTGGGGCTGGTGAGATGGCTCAGTGGTCTAAAGCACCTACTTAAAACAAGCTTAGCAAAGCCCAGGGACCACGGTTCAATCCCCCAGCACCACATGCCAGCCAGCCCACCCCCCTGGTGGGCTGAGCTGCCCCCCTTCCACAAATAAATAAAATTTTTTTAAAAAATTGTTTAAATAATCACTGTAACTTTGGATCCCCCGGTACGCACCCGTGGATGCATTCCAGATGCCAGCAGTGTAGTCGTACGTGTACACTTTCTGATTCACCACCAGCAGCAGCTGCGAGCCTGCAAAATGTGCGGACGTCACTTCCGGCTGGCCAACCTAGAAAGGACAGGAAGTTTGACAACAGCCCGCTGCACCATGCTCACCTTAGATTCAGACGGCGGCCGGGCAGGACCTGCGTCCAGAAACCTCCTGCCAGCAAGCGTGGGCTGGCTTTCAAACAACTGGGGCTGGTGGGGAGCAACATCTGGGGGTTGTGACTGGTGATGCCGGATGCACCCGCGGTTTCTCCACCTTACTCAGAGCCCGTCTGAGAGCACAGCCTCTGAGATGACGGTGCTCTCTGAGCGTATTTACGGTCTGTGATCACAGGGCAGGAATTTCCTTAGGCTTGGCAGGGAAACTTCTCAAGACAGTAACTGAAAGGGTGCATCGTCTCTTTGCTTCAAGACACTTTGGGAATGGCTTGAAATTATTGCAGGCAAAGCCAGACAGCGTCTGATTTATCAACATAATACTCTTCCTTCCCAGGTAAGGAAGAGTACTCGGCAGCCATTCTGGTCCCTCTTTTTCAATTAAAAAAAAAAAAAAAAAAAACAAAAAAACATTTTGGAGTAGGGATAGAAGAAGACTAGCCCTTCTTTTGGCTTAGAAATTGTTTCTTAAAACTAAATCTTTGAAAGAGTGATAGGCCCATAAATAGATGAATAGATAAATAACGTGGTATTTCTATGCAATGGAGTACTACACAGTCATAAAGAAGGGGGCAGTGGAGTCATTTGTAGGAAAATAGATGCACCTTGAGACCGTAATGCTGAATGAACTTGGATGCAGGTTAATTATCACATGGCTTCTCTTATATAAGAAACCCAACATAAATAATCCAAGGAGCAAAATAAAAGCAAGATGATAGGACACAGGGAACCAGGCTCTATGGCCACGGGAAGTGGGGTGGCGGGCAAGGAAGGCAAGGGCGAGTAAAAATTACTCCATATGTGCGCGCTCCTGCTCCCCAAGATGAACGCAATGATTATGTTAATAAGAGACAATTTAAAAAAGTGCTTCTTAATGTCTTTTACTTGTAGAATAACCTAAAACTAGCAAAGGCAGACTAGTTGGGATTTTCCTGACTACATGGCCCATCACTTATCCTGAGCAGCCTGCAAGCGCTTCCTGAAGTAGTTACCATCATGGAGGTAGGGATGGTGAGTGGGAAGAGGCTGCTCGAGAAGTCATCTGTCGTGAAGAAGACGCGCTGCCTGGAATGAAGAACACAGCTAAGTCAGGGTGATGGGGGGGAGGGAGGGAGACGGAGAGGGAGGGAGGGAGGGAGGGAGAGGGAGGGAGAGAGGCAGGGAGGGAGAGAGAGGGAGAGAGAGAGAGTTCTCAAAATTCCATTCCCCCCCAAAAAAAAAAATAAAAATAAAAGAAAATAAAAAAAAATTCCATTCCCGTGAAATTTCTCTTTCGTTAGGGACCTTTTCACATGCATTCTGGTTTTTGTGTTTTTGTTTTTTTGTTTGTTTGTTTTTGCAGAACCAGGGATTGAACTCAGGTCCTTGTGCTTGCCAGGGAAGCTCTTATTCCACTGAGCCATCTCCCTGGGCCTCACATGCATTCTGTATTTGCTTATTTTACAGAAACAAACCTCTACTATGGGTTTTTGAAGTGACATTGTTTTAAGACAGCGAATACTCCAGGGCTGCCCAGATAGCGCAGTGGACTAAAGCACCTGCTTAGGCAGCGAGCAGTTGCTGGGGATCAATCCCTGGGGCGTGCTGAGGGCGACTGAGACTGGGCGTGGTGGCGCGCACCTGTAATCCCAGCACTTGGGAGGCTGAACACAGGAGGATCACTATGAGTCTGATCTGCACAGTGAGACCCTGGAGACCTTGGTCTAAATACATTAAAAAAAAAAAAAAAAAAGTCTTTAAGGTGTTCACTCCGACCTCAACAGCATCCACCTGAGTTTTTATAAAAGATATTTAGAAGGCATTGGGGGTTGGCGGATGCCCGGGTGTGGCACTGCAGGAGCCACGCTGTCCTTTTCTTAGTGCCTTTACCTTCTGGTGTGTCATCCCCTTCCTTCCGGCCCTAGACCCCCGACTATAGGTGCCCTGCCGGGTGCAGCAAGCAATGCGTATCTGGCTCATGTTTGCTGGTGACTAAATGAGCGAAAATCTAAGTTTCCAGAGAAATGGAAGAAAACAGTACATAAACTGCCACTTACCCTAAATATATTGCTGTAGTTTTCTTACATGGATGTTTAATCAGGCATGTTGTCATAGATGGAAAATACAGGGAATCCTAGAAAGAGAATTGCAAAATTTTAATACAATTATGAACAATAAACAGCTAATGAGAACAGTTTTCTAACGGATGATGTTACAAATGCAAAGAGTGAGCTGGGTGTGGTGGCGCACACCTGTACTCCCAACCCTCAGGAGGGCTGAGGCAGGAGGATCACTGTGAGTTTGAGACCAGCCTGGGCTGCAAAGTGAGTTCAAAACCAGTCTGAACTGCACAGTGAGGCCCACAAAAAAAAAATTAAAAAAGAGTGAAATCTGAATTACATAGGTGGTTTCTTCCTGTTCTTTTGTTTCATTTTTGTTTTGAGACAAGGTGCTTGCTGTGTTGTTTAAGCTGCCCTCCAACTCATGGGGCAAAGAGAGTCTCCTGCCTCAGCCTCCCAAGTTGCTGGGCCCCACAGGTGCATGGCACCATGCTGGGCTTCACTTCTTATTGGTCATACCAGATGGAACCTCTGGGGGGAGCTGCGGAGGTCGTCCTCTGGAGCCTTGTGTTCTCTATCTAGCGTCAAACCCGCAAGGGAATGCTTCACAGCACAGCGTCTTTTGAGACGCGGCTGGCCTAGAACTCCACCTGCTGCCCAGGCTACGCTGCTGCAACTCGCGGTTCTCCCCTGCCTCTGCTTCTCTGGTGCTGGGCGTACAGGGGTGTGTTACCAGGCTCAGTTCTTGTCGCATTTTAACCCTATATATGTTACTGTTTTCAGATGACTGCTAGCTGGGCACGGACACTTACGCCCGCTGTCACAGCTGCCCGGATGCCGCGGTAGGAGACTCGCCTGAGCTCAGGAGCTCGAGGCTGGCCTGGGTCACACGGTGAAACCCTATCTCAAAACAACAACAACGAAACAAAACACCCCACAGGTATTAGTGGCTTGGAGGAGAGGCCAGAGGATGAAGCATCCTGGTGCTAACATGTGGGAGACTAGAGACTCTAGCATTTAGAAACCCAGACCCTACTCTGAACTTGTGGGATGTAAACAAGAGACGCCCTTGAACTGATCGGAACTTTTCCCTACACACTGGGAGCATGTGCTGGCTCACATGACTTCGCCTGCCGCGCTGTGCCGTGTAAGCAAAGCTATAGGGTTTGCTTCCGATGTGACTGCTTTGAAAAATCTCCACCAGCTGGGGCGGCAACATGCATCTGTGATCCCAGCACTAGGGAGGCTGAGGCAGGAGGATTGCCACAAGTTTGAGAATAGCCTGGGCTACATAGTGAGACTGTTTGAAAGAAAAGATCTCCACCAGCTGGGGTTTGGTGACCCTTACCTATTGTCATGGTTGGGGTTTTGTGCACCGGTAACAATATAATATGGGACACATTTCATATTATTTTATCAGGAATCATCCAAGAATCATATAACAGTCCAGGAAATCTGTCCATACACTAAATACTAAAGAATCCAGCTGAGGGCCTGGATCCTAATATCCTACATGAATTGAGCTGAAGACCTAGAACCCATCACAGCGCCTCCCACAAGTCCAGCTGGAGGCCTAGAGCCCACGACAATGTCTCACGCAGGCCTGTTTCACAGATCCGCGCTAGGAAGGCCCAAAGGTCACAGTGGTGGGAGCCAGGAAGTCTATGCCAGCGGGGTGAAGGGTCTGCCAGCAGCTGAGGGATCTGCACCGGAGCCAGGAAGCGACGCTCAAGGTGAGCACCAGGGCTCCCCCAAAGGCACCACAGCCATCCTCAGCAGCAGCGAGGTCCCGGGCTCCTCCGGCGATGAGGAAAGCCGAGTTCCCATCAGGAAAGCCAACATGACAAACTTGTCCATGAGGCTGAGCAAGGTACCACCACAGCCAGCAATGGTTCTCAATTTGTTTTTCATCAATATGGGAATGACAAATCCTTAAAGGCCAATTAATTTTAAGGACTGAAGCACGCAGTGTTCTTAAGTTCCTGACATATTACTGGCACCCAAGAAACACTCAGAAGTGTGCTGTAGTGGTGTGTGCCTGTAATCCTAGCGCTCTAGAGGCTGACACAGGAGGACTGCTGAGAGCTCCAGGCCACCCTGGGCTACAGGCTATAGTGAGTTCAAGGCCAGCCTGCACTGCAGAGCGAGACCCTAACTAAAAAACAAATAAACAAAAACAAAACAGCAGGAAAAGTGAAGAAAAGGAATTCTGGATCAGGGATATAGCTCAGCAGCACAAGTGCTGGCTTGACAAGTGTAAGGCCCTGAGTTCAATTTCTGATAGAAGGAGGAGGAAGGGGGGAGAGGGGAGGAGGCGGTGGCGGAGGAAGCAGCGGAGGAAGAAGAAGAAGAGGAAGAAAGAAGAAGAAAAAGAAGAAGAAGAAGAAGAAGAAGAAGAAGAAGAAGAAGAAGAAGAAGAAGAAGAAGAAGAAGAAGAAGAAGAAGAAGAAGAAAGAAGTTGTTCTAGCAAATGTTCTGATTGTTCATTAGATAAGTGAGGGAAAATTGTGGGTAACCACTTACCCCATGGACTTGGTGTTCACCACTGAACACTTTTCCTGTTCTCACTTTTTGAACACTAGATGAAAGTGACAAGAGAAACAATTTGTCAATTTTTATTGAGTATTTTAGTATGCCTCTTTCTACCAGATAGCCTCTGGTCAAACTATCGAACTATGAAGTACCTGTTTTACTTTGTTTTATTTTGTTCTCTGAGACAGGGACTTCCTAGGTAGTTCAGGCTGCCCTTGAGCTCACTATGGAGCCCAGGTTGGCCTTGAACTCTCAGCAATCCTCTTGTCTCAGCCTCCCGGGTGCTGGGATTAGAGGTTTGTGCCACGATGCCAGGGACCACAGATGCTCAAAGCATCCTGCTGGGGGAACCAGAGTGGGGAAATGGAAGAATCGGATACAAGCTATCAGTTCAGATCTTCAGAGAAAAAAACCTCAATCTCTACCTATGAGCTATGTGTCTTTCTGTAAGTGTGTCTTGAATTTCCCTGGGTCTGTTTTCACATGGTAAAAAAAGATAAAGGCATCTCTACCCTAAAGTTTTCAGGATAAATATTTATTGAGAACACTGAAGTATCCTTGATGCACACTGTTGGTACACGGTAACAAACAGGTCCCAGCTGAATGTAACAGTTAAGGTTGTTTGTGAAGGCAGGCACTGGCTTGGCCACCTGCTTGACCCTCACGGTACTTTCTACACATATCCACTAACCTAACCTTTACTACTATCTGAAATATACGGGCTGAAGAGTTAAATCAAGTGTGCATTTCAGGGCCGGAGGTGCAGTTCAGTGGTAGAATGCTTGTGTAACCTGTGGGAGGTCCCGAGTTCTATCTCCAGCACAAAAACAAGTAACAGAAAGTCTACATTTTTATAGAACAATATTCCAGTGACAGCAAATAAAAGAAACAATTTGTTAAAAAGGGGGGGGGCACACCTATAATCCCAGCACTTGGGAGGCTGAGGCAGGAGGATCCTTGGGAGTTGGAGATCAGCCTAGGCTATAAAGTGAGCTCAAGGCCAGCCTGAACTGCATAGTGAGATGCTATCTCAAAAGACAAAAATAAATAAATATTAAAAAATAAATAACACCAATTAGTGATAGCAAAGGGCAGCTCTGGGAACAGAAAATAGATAGGAGAGGTGGGTGTGGTGATGCATCCATTATCCCAGCACTCTGGCAGAAGCAGAAAGATCACAACTTGAAGCCCACCATTGGCGACTTTAGCAAGACCCTGTGCCAAAACAAAAAATAAAAAGGTCTGGGGTACCCAGGCCGCGGTTCAATTTCCAGCAATAAGATTTTTTTTTTTTTTTTTAAGCAATAAGATTTTTTAAAAAGGTAAGCAGGTGCCACAAGTGGACTGAGGTGGCCTGGCTTGCAGCTCTGAGCGCAGGGGCAGACCAGCGGTTTCCAGATCCCCAGGGGCCTCCTGCCAACGCCTGGGGCCTTTTGCGAGTAATGGCAAGGGATGGGGAGGACGTTCTCTCAGGACCTAAAAGTCGGAGACCAGAGACGGTGCTAAACGTGGTGCAATGCACAGCACAGCTCCTGGCAGAAGTTAATCCGACCCCAGATGTGAGCAACGAGGGGCTTCGAGGGTGGCTTCCCTCAGAGAACCAGGGAGGGCAAGGACAAGGTGAGATCATTCAGTGATAGGAGGACAGCAGGGCAAAGTCTAGGCTGGGATGACAGGTCGGAGCCAGGCCCAGGTCCTGACGCGGAAATGGGACTCCACGTTGGAATAAGCGACAGGGAGGCAGCGACCGATGCCCACAAAGAGCGAAGCCGAGCCTCAAGCGCTTCAACTCCAGGAGTCTGCAGCCCCCTCCCATGCAGGGAGGGCAGCCCCACCGGCACAGCGGCTGCGCTCCAACCGGCGGCCAGAGCCCAATGGTCGCCGCCACCGCTATCAACATAGACGCCAGCATCGAGTATCTCGGGTAGTCTGGAGTCCACGCAGATCATCAACCGCCGAAGTCGCCGCACAGTCTGAGCGCGCGCACCGAGCAGTCCCTAAATCCCCCGCCAGCCGGGCCCGCGGGGCACTGAGCGCGCCGCACCCCTTGCGCATGCGCAGTTGTGTGCCAGCCTGCACCGGCTCCAAAGCTGAACCCGAGCCAAGCAGGCGCACGAGGCCGTCCGCGCGACGTGTACAACGCGAGCATGCGTATTCTGTTTCTTGGGAAGCCCGAATCTAACCACACACCCTAAGAATTTGAGTGTGTTCCTTCCACCGGCGTGCCTAAACGTGGGCAAAAGGCAACGCTCAAGTTTTCAGAGGCCGAGCTTGTGGCAGTACCAATCCAGTGGTGCTGGTGCGTGCCCACAATTTTCCACGTGACTCGAAGGGGTCTAGAGCGCTATAGCTGGACGGCAGAGGAAAGGCGGGTCGAGAAGGAGTTCAGACCCTCTCCCGCCGCCTCGCCGTCCGCGCCCACCGAGTCTCTGCCCTGAGCCGGTACACTGGAGAGGCCGGCCCCCCGACCACACCCCTTCGAGCCGCGGCACGCGCCGGGCGTCACGTGCGCCCCAGCAGGAGAAGCGGAAGTGACGTCAGTGCCGTGCGCCGCCAGTATGGCCGGGCCATGGCGGCGAGCACAGGCTACGCGCGTCTTTGGGCCGCGGCGAGGTGCTGGGCACTGCGGCGGCCGCTCTTGGGGCGGCTCCCGACTACGACTGGAGCATGGTTACCGAGAGGCCGCCGAGCCTGCGACGCCACATCTCCTTGGGTGCTTTGGGGCCGCGGGCCGGCCACCGCGAGCCAGTGGCGAGGGCTTTGGGAAGCGAGCAGCCGCGGCGGCGGTGCGTTCTCGGGAGGCGACGATGCCTCCGAAGGCGGCGCGGAGGAAGGGTCCGGGGCCGTGGGGGGCGGCACAGGTGGCGGGGAAGGCCCAGTCATTACGGCGCTCACGCCCATGACGATCCCGGACGTGTTCCCGCACTTGCCGCTTATCGCCATCAGCCGCAATCCGGTGTTCCCGCGCTTTATCAAGATTGTCGAGGTAATGAGTGCCCCCGCCTCGGCCTCGGCCTCGGCCTCCCCACCTCTGCCAGCAAAAGGTTAGCGCCTTAGTGCTTCAGAACTTTATCGGAGACGAACTCTCGAAATGTCTCGAGTTCGAATCCTTGTCTGCTTAGCACGAGCTTGGTGCGCTTGAGCCAAAGTTCCCCCGCCCCCCTTTTGTGTACCTTAGGATCGGATGAGAGGGAATGAATTTAGAACTATCCCCTTGAGAGTCCTGGTGATAAAAATCCGGAAGGGACCAGAGGCAGTGTTGGGATCCGCTTACTTTCTTGCGGACGTCTATAAACGTTTTTTGTAACACTCCCTTAGGCGACAGTTTGAGAGCCTGTGGAGCCAGATTGATTCCTTCCTTAAACAAGTGTGCCTGTGACAGCCAGCCGGAGATAAATTTTTGCCTTTGTAACTTACTTTCTAGGTTGAGAAGGGCAGTAGTTATAACCTGAAATCAGATCTCGAGGAACGGTACTAGAGACTGGAGGGAGGTGGGCAGAGAACGTGATTTAGTCGTTCAGTATTGCATATAACAGGCATGGAAGATCCAGTTCTAAACAAGTCACACACACTCCCTAGCCTAAGAAGCTTACGTCTTGGTGAACGAGACCGTGAACTAATAGGACCCTGGCAGAGTAGGAGCTCAGAGGGGGAAGGGAAGCCACAGGGTGATGTAACAGTGAGAAATCAGTGAGTGCAAGGAATGTGAATTTGGGAGGAAATAACCTTCATGCCTTCTCCCCCGCCTCACTGCCGTGTTTGAACAACAAAAACAATCTTTTAGAATCTCCTGTGGAACCTTAAGGTCATAAAAGAGAAAAGTTAGCAGTGAGCTATATGAGCAAGGTCACAGTGCGTCAGCCTCTGTGCTCACCCTCCAGCTTTTTTTTTTTTTTTGCTCCAGCCTCTGCTAAATAAACCCCCAAGGATCTCTTGGCTGGGCAAAGGACTCGTTGGAGGGGCAGCAGGCCAGGAGTGTGCAGGGCCTGCGCCCCCTCTGCCTCTTCTCCCCACGGCTGTGTCTCAAGGATCCCAAGGCCTGGCCCTTGGTGTTGCAGTGATTGCACAGGTTTACTCCAGAGCCAGACCAGTCAGCTAGTCATTCTTCATGACCTTCATTTTCTCCTGTGTGAAATAGACAGTGAAGCAGTGTGTTCTTTCTTGGAGCTGCTGTGGAAGTTACGTGAGGTCCTGTGTATGAAGGATTTGTAACTGCCGGGCACTCACTTTGCCTAAGGAATACGTTGCTGCTTTCTCCCCAGGGGAAAGTTATCACTAGCCTCTTCCTTGTGTGAGTCCCGTGGCACGGTGTTCATGGAAGACATTTACGGTATTTCAGAATGGCCCTGGATGCCTTTGCCCGTGCTGCACCTCTACTTCCCCTCTACAGCAGTCATCTTAAACCTCCCACCCTAGGCTTCTGGGGCTAGCCTGGAGTGATATCAGAAATGTTCTGAGAGGGCCAGGGATAGAGTTCAGTGGCATAAGCACCTGCCTGGCAAGCGCAAGGTCCCAAGTTTGGTCCCTGGTACCACCAGGAAAAAAGTTTCCTTTGAGCCAGCCTGATAGCTCAGCAGACTAAAGTGCTTGCTCAGGCAGAGCACAGCGGCCCGGTTTCAGTCTCCAACATGCCATGCTGGTCCCACCCCCAGGGCGCGCTTAGATGGTGTTTGAGACTGGGTGTGATGGCACATGCCTGTAATACCAGCACTTGGGAGTCTGAAAACAGGAGGTTTGCTACAAGTCTGATCTGTGTAGTGAGACCCTGAGCACCCTGTAGACCCTGTTGACCCTGCAGACCCTGTCCTAAATACAGAAAAAAAAATGTTCTGAGAATGTTCCAATGTGATCACTTCTGTAGCACATACACTAAAGTTGGAACAGTGCAGAGGAGATTAGCATGACCCCTGCACAAGGATGACACGCAAAAACTGAAGCATTCCATAGTTTTCAAGCGCCAAAGGGGGGTGTGCAGTGAGATAGCTCGGCAGACTGAAGCGTCTGCTTAGGCAAGCACAGGGGCCATGGTTTGAACCCCGGCACCACATGCTGGCAAGCCCCGCCCCCAGGGTGGTCTGAGCCAGCCACAGAGTCCAAGCGTGGTAGCACACGCCTGTAATCCCAGCGCTGGGGAGGCTGAAAACAGGATCACTGAGTTGAAGCTGCAGAGTAATACCCTAAAACAACTGAATATTTTTAAACAATAAAAAAAAGAATGTTTTGTCGTCCTGGGGGTTCTGAACATCAGTGAATAGCACCTGGGTGTTACATAGTTTTATCTGAAGATTGGAGAAAGTTACCAATGCTGGTGCCGAGCCATGTTTGAGTTATAACATGTTAGTGTTGTCCTTAGTTTAAGAAGAACAGCAGAATGTTTGAGCTTTCAAACTGAAACATTTCAGGTGCATATCTGTAATCCCAGCACTTGGGAGGCTGAGGCAGGAGGAGCACTTCGAGTTCAAGGCCAGCCTGAGCTCCCAACGTGAGCTATATAGTGAAAGCCTGTTGCAAAAAAACCCACAAATTTTTTAAAACTGATGTACATCTGTCATCCCAGTACCCTAGGAGGCTGTGGAAGGATTGCAAGTTCGAGCCCAGCTTGTGTAACTTAGTCAAGCGCTTATCCTACTGAGCCATCTCCCCGACCCCATAGCTTGTGTAACTTAGAAACCTGTCTCAAAGATTAAAAAGGACAGGGGATGTAGCTCGGTGCAAAGGCCCTAGGTTCAGTCCCCAGTACTACAGCAAGACAAGACCCTTGCCCCTACAACAGGTATAGGAGAGAGATTTATTTTTTTGTTTCTAGCCATTTGTCTACTTTGAACTTTCTTTGGGGAGGAAAGGGGAAGGATCCCTAAAGAATATAAGTAGTTACTAGTCAATGTTGCCTCACCCTAGCCCCTGCCTTGTCTCTTTTTTTTTTTTTTTTTTTTCTAGTTTAGTGTTCCCTGGACCTCCTGGGTCAGATTAGCATGTCTCCAGAGAATGATCTAGAAAACTCTAGAACCACTGTCAGTTTCCCAGCTAGACCATGTACCCTGCATTTCACTTTGGGGTCATTGTCATGCTAGGTTAAAAATAAGAAGTTGGTTGAGCTGCTAAGAAGGAAGGTTCGACTTGCCCAGCCCTATGTCGGCGTCTTTCTAAAGAGAGATGACAAGTAAGTGTCATTTTTCCTTCCTCCCTTCACTGAAGCCACCCTAGCTCACCACAGCCCTGCACTGTAGTGTAACAGTACTTGGGATCTTCTTGCCTTGATGAAAAAGGCCGAGAGCTGGGGCCTTGCACTCTGAGGATGGGCATCGTAGCTCCTGTGTTAAACCAGCAGTCCCCAGCCTCTTTAGCACCACGGATTGCCTGGAAGACACTTTCACACAGCCATGGTGGGAAGTGGCTTGGTTCCTTTCTTCCATTAGCATATGTTCGTGGTGTGTGCTACAGTGATTCCGTCCCCAGTGCTAGACCTCCATCCCAGCGCCCCCTCAGGTCGCCAGGCCTGTTCTCTAAGGAGTCACAGCCTACTGCCTGCACATGGGAAGTTCACAGCAGGGCCTCGCTAGAGAATAGAGAATCGAAAGCCCTGATGGTCTGGAAGGAGGCGGAGCTCAGGTGGTGACAGAGCCTCGGGGAAATCCAGAAGCTCTGCCCCGCTGCCTGCCACCTGCTTCCAGCTCCATGGCTCCTTTGCCAGCCAGACTGCTGTGCAGGGTTCCATCCCCCTGTACCACAAAGGAAGAAGCACGCGTGGGGGAGATGAACCTGAAGCTGTTAGAATTCAGATGCCCTAAAGCTGCTTCTGAGTAGAGCTGGCAAGGTGATGAGCGGGGCTGGCGTTTGTTTGCCTCGACTCCAGGTAGCGACTCGTTCCACTTCTAGATCACAAGGTGCTTGTATCCAAGCAGGCACTGCCACAGAGAGTGGAAGGAAATCAGTCTCATCCGGGTCCCTTCCTCATGGCTGACTTATCTAGGAGCTGTCTGTGTGCTGTGCCCTGGTGACAGGCCAGAGCTGGCACGGCTCTGCCAGGAGCCCAGGAAGTGGCTGTTAGGCTTGTTCTTCCTCCCTCTTCCCTCTCAGCCTGAGATGTCCGTCGGTGAGGTGGTGCTGACACCTTTGTGTTCCTGTCCTTCAGCAATGAGTCTGATGTGGTTGAAAGCCTGGATGAGATCTACCACACGGGCACGTTTGCCCAGATCCACGAGATGCAGGACCTTGGGGACAAGCTGCGCATGATCGTTACGGGACATAGAAGGTGTGTGGGCGGCAGCATATGGGGCCTAAGGACGTGCCCTGGGAAGGAGCTGACCCCTGCGCCCCATGTCCCTCCACCTACCCACCTGGTCAGACCTGTGGTTTGTCACTAACACTGAAGCCAGTGCTGGGGACAGAGGGGGAGATACAGCAAGTTTGCCGGGTGTGGTGGTCAACACCTGTCATCACAACTACTTGGGAGGCTGAGGCAGGGGGGCTGCAGATTTGGCCAGTTTGCAGTTTCCAAATGAAAAGGGCTGGGGCTGTAGCTATGTGCAAAAGCCCTGGCTCAAGCGCAGCCCAGGCAACTTAGACTATCTTAAAAAGGGTTGGGGAGGTAGCCCAGCACTCCCTGGGTTCAATCCTCAGGACAACCCAAAAAAGTAGAAGGCATGTGGGTTTCTAGCAGGAGCCCCTGGTGGAGAAGATCCTGGCTGTGGACTGGCAGCTCAGTGCCCAGTTGTGGCCCCGTGGCTGCTCCCCGCCCCCCTCCCCCGTGTTAGTGACTAGAACCCAGGTGGGCCTTCACCTGGGCCCTGCTCCCGCACCAGGATCCACATCAGCAGACAGCTGGAGGTGGAGCCCGAGGAGGCCGAGCTGGAGAACAAACAGAAGCCCCGCAGGAAGGCCAAGCGGGGCAAGAAGGAGGCGGAGGATGAGCTAAGCCCCAGGCCCCCACGGGAGGTGGGACAGGAGCCTGCCACAGAGACCCCCGGGGAGGTGCTCATGGTAGAAGTGGAGAATGTGGCCCACGAAGACTTTCAGGTCACGGAAGAAGTGAAAGTAAGTCTCTACCAGTGCTGTGCGGGGCCCCGGAGTAGCATCACAGGCTGGGCGGGTGTGCCCAGCTCTTCTGAGATAAGTGATGTCCTTCCCCGCAGCCTTTGCAGGAGTGCCTGGGAGGTAAAGGCCATCCACTGGGGCCTCACTGCTTAGGACGAGGCGAGGGTTTGAGTCAAGGTCTCGTCCCAGCACCTCCCCTTGTGCCCAGGCAGTGGAGAGAGGAAAGAAGGAGATGGAACAGTCTCTGGCTACCCCACTGCCCACCCTGGGCCATCCTGCCTTCTCTCAGTTGGCAGGTTTCCATAAAAGGCCTACGATGTGTCAGCTCCGTGGCACGGGCCTGATCTCAGCCGCCTTGCAGAGGGGAACATGCCAGGTGGCAGCAGTGGCTCTGGTCTGACCATCTTGGTCACTGTGACCTGGTGCTTTGTCAAGAGAGACTGTGGGTACTAGGGATATAGCTCGGTGGCATAGCACCTGCCTGGCAAGCATGAGGTCTTACGTTTGATTTTTGGTGCCAAAAATAAAAGACCCTTGGTGGGGGTTATTGCTTCTGTACATTAGTGATGTTTGCCTTGGCCTTGCTAGGCCAGGTCTGGTGGAAGTGGTTCACCCATTTTGCACCCTCCCCGCCTTGTGGCAGTTGAGTGTGTCAGTGGCCCGAGGCAGTCAAGGAGCAAGATGGAAATTTCATTTAGTTTTAACTAATTTAAATGTAGAGCCAGGTGTGTGGTGCACGCCTATCCCAGCGCTCAGGAGGCTGAGGCAGGAGGATCATTTTGCGAGTTCCAGACTAGCCTGGGCTGCAAAATGAGCTCAAGGTCCACTGAACTGCATAGTGAGACTGTCTAAGAAGAAAATACATATGTGTACGTAGAGAGTGACCATGACTTTGCTGCACTGGGCAGCAGGCTTCAGTGTCTCTTGTGAGAGCCCTGCAGGGAGGAAAAAACCAGAGAGGGGACTCGGGTGCCGTGAGATTTGGAGACCCCAAGACAGTGTGCTCTTTTATTTTTGAGACACGGTCTCACTAATTTTCCTAGACTGGATTTAAACTTGTGATCCTTGGGGCTGGGGAGATGGCGCAAGGGCCTGAGTTTAATCCCTGGTTCCACAAAAAATAAAATAAAAATAAAAAAATAAACTTATGATCCTCTTCCTTAGCCTTCTGGGCTGCTGGGAGGACAGAGGGCTTCTTGGTAGGGCAGGCGCCAGCACCCCCAGCTGACCAGCTCTGGCTGCTCATGCAGAGCCACCCGGTTAGGGCCGGGACCGGACGGCAGCTCGAGGGCGGGTTGTGTTGCAGTGCAGCGTTGCTGCAGTGGGCTCCCAGGCTCCTGGCACTTCAGTGTCCCAGCTCAAGGCATCAGTATTGCCTCACTGATTTTCCAAAAGGTCATTGCACCTGGCCCTCTGCCAGCTACAAGGAAGGTTGAAACAGGAGGCCGCAAGTTCCAGCCCAGCTTAGGCATGTAGCCATGTCTCACAATAAAGGGGTGAGGTAGAGCTGAGTGCTGAGCATTTGCTTAGCAGGCCTGAGGCCCTGGGTTCATTGCCAGCACCAGGAGAAGAAAGGGAGGAAAGAAAGAATGAATACAGGATGGAAAGAAGATAGCCTCCACTTCTTCCTAAGAGTGCTCCTGTTGACAGGCTCAGCAGATGGTTCTTGGCCCCTGGTGCCCATGTCCCTGTCCTCCCCTGCCTCCCTTTGGTCTTCAAGGGGTCGATGCCAGACAGCTGGGTGGTAGGGGTGTGCTGGTGACAGCATGGTGTCTGCTCCTTAGGCACTGACTGCGGAGATCGTGAAGACCATCCGGGACATCATCGCCTTGAACCCACTGTACAGGTCGGAGTTCACAGCTGGGCAGACAGGGATTTCCTCAGGGTGCCATCCCGGCAGGGAACAGGGCAAGGGGC